AACCCTATTCTAAAGGTTAAATGATCCTAAGAACATTAAGAAAGAGTGTGTTTTTTTTTTGTTTTTTTTTTTTGGCTGGGCACAGTGGCTCACACCTGTAATCCTAGCACTCTGGGAGGCCGAAGCGGGAGGATCGCTGAAGGTCAGGAGTTTGAAGAAAGAGTGTTTTTTGAGACCCAGTCCAGTCTTTGTCCACTAAACTGAGCACGTGTGTCAGAAGCAGTTTACTGTCCTTGTCAAGACTGTGCCTAGAACAGACCTGGCTATAGTAGGTGCTCAACAAAGATGTATTGAATGAGCAGTGAAAAGACAGTGAGACCTTGTCATAAGTCAGTTGGATTTGGTAGGTGTATACAGTGTAGACGCACCTTCCAGATCAAGCATCCCCCTTACCTGAGGTAGGTGAAAAGACAGATCCCACCCACTACCCCAGCCCCCTCTCCCCAATCCCAGAATAAACCTGGAATCCAAAAGGAGGCTGGCTTCAGCCACCTGCAGCCACTAAGGAGCCAGGTCTGTGCAATTTACATCTCAGCCCCTGCCCCATAACAACATAGGCTGCAAGAACATTTCCCACCAACTCTTGGCATACTTTGTTTTATTGAAAAGGAAGATAAAACTTCCAAGCAGAGTCCACTCTTTTCCTCCGCTTCTTTCCGGCACACAGGAGACACCTGGGCCCGGGAGAAGCTGCTAGGGGAAGGGAAGGTCAGGTGTGGCCCCTTCTTAGCCTCCCAGGCCGGCAAACATTTACATTTCCGGGGAAGTCGTGAGTGAGCTCGGAGGACTTCCCCAGGAATCCAGGCTGGGCTCGTAAAGAAACGATCCCAACATCAAGAAAAGAAGCCGGCCAGTAAATTCCACGTTAGTTCATTTTCTAAGACTTCTGAATGTGTTTTGAATTTTCTCTAAATTAAGATAATCATAAAAGGTTAAGATATTTAAACAGAGCGCCACCTGATCCCAGGGCTTGATTTGTATGCTTAATTAGTTCCCCAACATATGGTTCAGAGCTTCTTATAAAAACAGGGTAATGACTTGAGGTGTATTTGGGTATTAGATTGAATGATGTTAAAGGGACATTCAGACCCATCTCAAAGGCCTTAACCTGCCCTTGATCTGTGCTGGAAGCTTTTGCTGACATCTGTTTCAAAGAGATATCAAAAAAACTTTCCAGTGGCCTCATGATAAAACAAAAATCCATACGGAGATAGCTATCAGGCATTAAAATACTTAGGATTCAGCATTGCCTGAGGAATGTGTGGCCCTAGAATATAAGTGGCGGGGCGGGGCGGGGGGGGGGTGAGGAGGGGCTCAGACACTCTGGGAACTGCTGAGAGTGCAGCGCCTTGGCTCAATATGGAGAGGGAGCAGATGGGTCACAAATGTCCCCAGGGCCCTTTGTTCTTTTGTGTGTTTCAGTTCCTGATAATAAATCAGGTGCTCCTGAGTATGGAACATAATTCAGGTCACCATGAGTCGTGTCCTCAGCTCCCTGGGAGCCCCAGGCCTCCCCCACCCCAGCACCCTGCCCCGGGAAGGCACCTTCCGAGACTCTGCTCAGTCGGAGTGAGGTGTCGCGCTGACTCATCCCCACTCCCTGGCCCGACTGTGTGATGTGTCCCCCGCCAACCCCTGCCACATCCACAGTGAAGGGGTTTGTGTATATATGAGATGTTTTTAAAGCGTGTGCTAGTCTGGGTAATGCAATTTCCAGACAAGCTCCCTCCCCAACTTTCAAGCCGATTTGTGTCCCCAAATCTTTCTTACACAGGCACTGGGGGATCCATCCTATTTGTGAAAATTTGGGCCACTGTGGGAAATGGCTGCCCATTAAGCACATCATCATCATCTCAGCGTAAAACAGGCCCCAGAGGGGATCGGCCCATCCCTTTGACTTTCATACACCTTCTCCCCAAACTGGTTCATTCACCCACATACCCCCCATCCCCTCACCAAGCACTCATCGAGCACCCCTTGCGTGTGGAGTATGCGGTGCTGTGGGAAAAGCGAGCTGTTTTAGGTGTCTCTCTGCCCTCCAGAAGCGCCCAGGGGCGGGAGAGGGAGACGGCAGACACAGGAAGCGAGTTCTCGAGGGGCAGGAGCAACATGAGCCGGCAACTGTGGGCGGGAGAGGTCACTGCAGGCAGACTGGTCAGCTTCGCAGACCACACGGCTTTGCCCGGGCTCTGAATGGCACACCCATTGGGACAATGGTCACTAAGGGTGACAGGCAGGACACTGCAGGTGGAGGAATGGCCTGAACAAAGGCCCAGAGAAAGGAAACCACCGTGTGGTCCAAGAATAGCCTGTTGCTTTCCAGGTTACGAACAGCAGACACATCCCCGCTCATCTGCCCCTCAAACACCCTCGTGCAGTCAACGAGGCGGGTGTAATTATTTCCATGTTACAAATAAGATGACCAAGGTGCACAGAGGTTGTGTGCGTTTCCCAAGGCTTCGCAGCTCAGACGCAGTGGAACCCAGATTCAAACTCCAGACTCAGACTTCCCAGGTCCACACAAGGCTGAGAAGTTAAGGCAAAGATTAGATTGCAGAGGGTCTTAAATAAAGACTGAGGAGGTGGCTATTTCCTCTGCAGTCACTGGGATCGTGGAGGATTTGGGGCAGGGCTGGAAGATCCATTAGGCAGCTGTGAGCAGAAAGGGGCTGGAGGTCAGGAAGATGAAAGAAGGCACTATGGTAGACCCTCAAAGGTCATTCCAGCCAGACTGGGCCAGGGGCCAGAGAACAGGGGAGGAGAACATGAGTGCAAGGGAGGGGAGTCAGGCTCCTGTCATGCAGGAGGCAGGAAGAGGCTCCAAGAACCATTGCAGCTGTGCGTCCAAAGAGCTAATTCCTCCCAAAGCCAGCTGAGACTTTCGCATCAATGACAGCTCCAGTTTCCAGTGATTCCAATGAGCCAGGTGCTTCTTCGTTTAGGCCCCATAACTATAAAGTGGCTGTTCTTATTCTCTCCATCTTACAGATGAGCAAACTGAGGTGCAGAGTAGCTAAGGAACTTAACAATGGTTACCCAGGAAGGAAATGGTTTCAACTGAGATGTGAGCAAGTGTTCCCACCCAGAGCCTGAACTCCTGACCCCTACCTACACCTGCCCACGTTAGGGCTTACAAGCCACCCAGGTGGCCAGGGAGAGGGGAGCTCCCCAATGTGCACCAAAGTGCCTTTGCCTAGCCCCTGGCCTGCAAAACCTCCCCAGTCTGGCCCAAAGTTACCTTTTCCCTTCACTACCTCCCCCTGTGCCGCAGAGGGATCCCCCCTGCGACAGCCCAGCACGCAGGAGGCCAGATCCAGGTTCCGATAGAGAGAGCGCACGAGGCCCTGCACGCTGGAGACCCATCCTGGGGCGTCACAGCAGGAGACCTCAAAGCTGGGCCAAGCCGAGTGGGACTAACATCAAAGCCAGCGGGGGGTGGCACAGCAACAAGGAACAGAAGTGAGCAGGGACAAGGCTGGTCCCGTATCATTCCTGCAGCTGTGTCGATGGGCTGGGGCCTCTTTGAAGGTCTAGGACACTCCAACCCAGGGTGCAAGGCAGAGGCCCCGGACCCCAGCCATGCCAGGACCCCTTCCTCTCCTGGGGTTCCCATGCCAGGGGCTAGGGGCCAACAGAAGGGGAGTTGAGAAGTTGCCTGTGTCTAAACGAGAGTTTAGTCTCCCAGTCCCGCTGCTGTGGCCTCTCCCCCCAGGAACCCCTTCCTCTTGGCAGCATCTTTGGGCCCCGTGTCCACATCCCCACTCTCTGGCATTGCTGCCTTCCTTTCCCACGTGAGTATGGACGCACGTGGCTTGCTTACTTACACTCTTCATGGCTCAGGGGTAGCACCACGCACGTTGTAGAATTTCCAGAAATCTTTGAGACCCTCCTAATGAAGAGACACGTCCTTTGTGCGGCCCTAGGTCCACGAAAGCACTCGGGGCACATTCCCCCACAGGCAGGATGGCACACAGCGTGGGAAGGGCACTGTCCAGGGAGCCCAGACCCAGAGTGCTAGCCTGGCTTTGCCACTGACTTCCTGAGCACCCCAAGACAGACCTCATCACCTCATTTCACCCATTTATGGCCCTAAAGAAAGGCTACCGGATCCCAAGTTCCCACAGAGCTCTGACCTGCCAAGTGTAGGCATAAATCACACTTCCTCATCCTTCACCTTGCCCCTTGAAAGGTGATCAAACGCTGGGATTCCTCATCTTTGCCTGCTGACCCTCTCTTGGTCAGGCTTTAGCTTTGGGTCACCTCCTCCGGGAAGCCTTCCCTGACCTCCTGCTATAGCAGCCCCCTGCCATCTCCTGGGCAGTCTCTACCATGTCACCCTGTTTGTCCTTTCCATCTGACCTTTTCCTGTTTGGGTATTTCCTCACTTTCTTATTAGCTGTCCCCCTGGATAGGGTGTAAGGTCCAGAACAGGAGGGAGTCTGCCTGAGCTCGCCTCTGCTGCTCCTTGCTCTGTCTCAGAGCCCAGGAGGGTGCCTGTAACAGGAGGTGCTCAACCGACATGCATCGAATGAATGAATGACCCGTGAGCACTTTTCTGTGCTGTTAGACATTCTACAATAATCGTGGCTATAACGGTTTCGTAATAGTCTATCCAACGTGTGAGTGCCTCTAAATATATTAAGCCAGTCTGCACTGTGGAACATTTTCATTGTTTCCATGGGTAACTATCATGTATTAAGTGCCTAAGAGGGTGGCTCTTGTTTCCCTATTTTGCTGTCTCCCACGGTAAGCATGACGGCTCCACGGGAACCGGGACCGTCTCTGTCCTGTATGTCACTGTCCCCAGTGCCAAGCACAGGGCCTGGCACACAGGTTCTGTTCAAAGGTATATATTAGATAAATTTATTAAACTGAATAAAGCAAAGGGCTTGCCTCTCCTTGAGGAGCGTTGTTCTTCCCTACGGTTCGACATTTTAAAAGTTGTTTGTCTACCAAGCAAAAGCACTTATAATGTTCTAATTGCTCTCCTATTTTCAAAGGTTAATTCTGCAGTCCTGTCATTCGAGCAGCTTCTGACCACCACGAGAGAATTAGCGGCACCACGTCCAGCTGACACCATTCCAGATCCCTGCAAAGGAAGGCGGCACGTCGGCCAGCCCACGTGCCCTTGGGAGTAACTGCACCCTTCCATTAGACTCTTAGGAATTGCAAACATGCTCAGGAACCCACAGAACAATCAGCCAACCTGGAGCCCCGGGACCCCTGGACTGGTGCCTCCTCACTCACCCCCGCCAGAGGTGCCAGCGCCAGCCACAGCCCGGTCACAGCGCGCTTCCAGGCAGCTGGCTGAACGAGCACAGGACCGCCAGCCTGTAAAGAAAGTCTGGTGAATGCTGTTAGATCACGTCCACGTCAATGTGTTTCCGTAGTGTTAGTAACACCTCCGCGCGGTCCCTTTGCTCTCTCCGAAGGCTTCCCACAGGCAGCATCGTCTTGGGAGGTACTGTCCTCCTTCTTCAGGAGGAAGAAAGAGCAGATACCACGGAGGCCAAGAAAGATGGCATGACGTGTTCAAGGTCAGCCTGCAAGGTGGGGTGAAGAGGCCGGGACTGGAGCCTAGTTACGCACACAAGGCTTCAGCTAGAGGCTGCAGACAAGGGCTATGTTTCACCGAGGGCCTGTCCAGAAATTAGGAGCAGAGCAACTCCGTATAGTTGAGCAGGTTGTGCACTGCACCAGGGCACCCCAGCCAAAGGGGTGCCAATTGCATCTTGGACGTCATCGATTTGTATATTTATTACATGTCTCCAGATTGCAATAAAGGATCTCTTCTAATAAAATCAGTATATTATAACTATTTTCCAACAAGCAGAAGTAACATGTCTTATGGAAGAGGCCTCTTTTTCTGATGTACAGCAACTCTAAGAAAACCACTCATATTTGGGAAGGCTGAGCTTGTCTGGGCAGAAAGAGACAGCAAGAGTGATCTAACTGTGCCTTCAGAAATTCAGCTGCCCTAATGGCAGAGGAATCTGGGGAGGGAGCATGCATGATCACGAAAGGTATCTCCAAATCAAAAGACAGAAGGCAGACAACCTGAGAGACAAATGGGCCAAGGGCATGATCCATCAACTCACAAAAGAAGAAAATGGCCAATACATGCATGAAGGTTGGTTGAGGACATTTATCACTGTTCAGCCTGCACAATGTCCCAGCGCCTATCCTCATGACCCCAGGTGACCTTACAAGGCACAGCCTTTCTCCCATTGCAAGTTGCCATGAAGGGGAAGCAGGGCCCCCTTCCCACTATGGAAGTCCAAGAGGCCACTTTCTCCCTCTCCACACTCCTATGGCCACAGAGAGCCAGGCCTAGGAGTGTCCTTGACTGACCGAATGACCTTTCCCAGGCCCAGAGGTGGAGGAAGAGATGGACGCATGTGAGGAAAGATGGGAGGTGATAGACCTCAGCTCAGGCTAGAAGCCCAAGATCAAGCTGTCATCAGGGTAGGTTCCTTCTAGAGGAGAATCTGCTCCATGCCTCTCTCCTAGCTACTGGTGGTTGCTGGCAATCCTTGGTGTCCTTTGTCTTGTGGCAGCTTGACCTCAGTCTCCACTTCCATTTTCCCATGGCATTCTCCTGTCTGTGTCTCTGCTTCCAAATTTCCCTCTTCCTAGAAGAACCCTAATCATTAGATTCGAGGCCACCCTAATCCAGTACAACCTCATCTTAACTTGATTACATCTCCAAAGACCATATTTCCTAGTAAGGGCCCATCCACAGGCTCCAGTGAACGTGAATTTGGGGGCAGTGCTATTCGACCAAGTGTCTCCAGCCCCAGAGAGAGGAAGGAGCTATGTCGATGCTTCAGTCTGAGGGGGACAAGAATGGAGGTGACGGTGAGGTCCTTCTCCAGCCATTGTGCTGTGAGCTTGAGCTTGGGATTCTAGAACTGAAGACCCTTGGAATAGAAAGGACAAGTTCCAGTCTGTGGGAGATGGCCTTAGAATGGTCCAGTCTGGCTTACCCTGCCAACGATGAGATTTGGGCCATTATCGTGCACTCTGAAGGTTTTTGCTTAAAGGACATTCAGAGGTCGCACCTACCATTTTCTCATCTCATAGATGAAAACGCTGTAGTCCAAGGAAATTATTTTCCTTAAGTTGCACAGTTGGTGAGTGGCCAGCCTCTTGACCCTACCCTGTACCCTTCATACTTGATCATCTATCTTAAATATTAATTCTTTTTTTTAAGACAGGGTCTTTCTCTGTTGCCCAGACTGGAGTACAGTGGCTCAATCATAGCTCACTGTAACCTCCAATTCCTGGGCTCAAGCAACTTCCTGCCTCAGCCTCCCAAGTAGCTGAGACTACAAATGCCCACCACCGCATCCAGCTATTTTTTTTTTTTTTTTTTTTTTTTTTGCACAGATTGGGTCTCATGATGTTGCGCAGGCTGGTCTTGAACTCCTGGACTCAACCGATCCTCCTGCCTCAGCTTCCCAAAGGGCTGGAATTACAGTCATGAGCCACCTCGCCCAGCCCTTGAAGGTGAAGCTTCTATCTCTTCTAGCAGATGGAGAAACTGAGGCCAAATTTGGATCCAGACATGTTTTGGTTTTTTTTTTAATCTGAGTGTCTGTAGGTGGAGTGAGCATTCTCCAGTTGTCAATGGTTCCATCATGCCGTTATCATAACCACACTCACTTAAAAAAAAATGAGATGTTTTCTTTTTTTACAGTTTATTGAGATATAATTCATATACCATATAAGTCATACATTTAAAATGTATAATTCAGTGGTTTTGGGTATATTCACAGATGAGTATAACCATAACCACAGTCCATTCTAGAACATTTCTGTCATCTCAAAAAGAAACCCCATCTCCCACCACCCCCAACAGCCCAAAGCAGCCACTACTCTACTTTTCATCTCTACAGATTTGCTTATTCTAGACATTTCATGTAAATGAAACCATATATGTGGCCTTTTGTGCCTAGCTTCTTTCATTCAACCTGTGTACCAGGTTCACCCAAATTATAGTGTGTATCAGGATTTTACTCCTTTTTATTGGTGAATAATATTCCATTGTATGGATAGACCAAACTTTATTTATCCATTTGTCAGTTGATGGACATTTTGGAAGATAATGACTTCTTTTTTCTTTTCTTCTTTTTTTTTGTAGAGACAGGATCTCACTATATTGCCTGGGCTAGTCTCGAACTCCTGGCCTCAAACAATCCTCCCACCTTGGCCTTCCGAAGTGCTAAGATTACAGGCATGAGCCACTGCATCAGGCCTGGGATATAGTGCTTTCTTGATACCATGTGCCAGTCCCTGTTCCAAGTGCTTTATCTCATTTAATCCTAACAAGAACCTTATGAGGTAGGCACTATAGTTACCCCTATTTTACAGAGAAGAAAACTGAAGCACAGAGATGTTATCTAACCCAAGGTCACACAGCTCACAGCTAGTGATATCTGCTTGGCCACTGAGTTTGTTTGTAATTCCCAGTGGCACACAATCCTCTTTGTATAAGTGTCTTCAGGGACAACTCATACCCATCCCAGCCCGCTTATTTATCCCTAAGCGGAGTCCAGAATGGCACACAAAGGACCTGCTGGCTTTATTACCACCCTCCAGCTTGGCTCCTTCTCTGCACTGTCCAGTCACCCCCTCAGTCAGGCACATTCCAGAAAACCCCTTCTGCAGTGTAAGCACTTTCATTCAACAAATGATGATTGGTCAACAAACCCCTTCAAGGGGTGTTACATGGGCCCTATAAAATCCTCATTATTCGGACCTCACTAGTTCAATATTTGCGATCTTTCCAAGAGGCTGTGCTGGGCTAGAGTGGGATTCGGTCAGCAACCTTTTCTTCTTAGGTAGTGGAGATTCGTGGTATAAACAGGATTAAACAGCCATGTTTAAACAAAGTGTGTTTAGGGCTCCTCAAAATAGCAGAAGCTCCCAGGAGCACCCAGCCGCTGAGATGCAGGGGCGCCCAATTCCTGTCTGGTCTTTAAGTAGGTCCCCCGGTGACCCAGCAGGCGACCTTGCTAAATGGGATAGTGAAAACACTCTTACTACCCAAAGGGACCATGACCGCCTCCCTTCAAAATCTTTTGCATTTCAGACTCACCCTCTGATTCTCTGAGCCAAAGTCCGAGTACTCAGTTTCATTTTTCTATGGAAAAGCTTTTTTCCCGCCAATCAGATATTCAGCAAAACGAGGCAGTGAGCCTCAAAATCAGCCTGGCGCCACAGCAGCCTGAGAAACAGTGAAGATTAGGTCCCAGCAAGGGACCCGCAGGACAGGGGCTCTGGAGGGAACTTCTGAACTTGGAGCCTCCTTCCTCCTTCCACAAAATCCTGTTATTCTTTCCACAGAGAAATTCCGCCCAGCTGAAAAGTCTGGGGCCCCGGGTGAACAGGGTGACAGCCCTGCAGCCAGACCAGCCCTCGATACCTTAAGCCTATTCAGTCCTGGCCGCCTTTGATCTAGGCATTTCCTGTGGCAAGCGAGAGAGTGGGGAGTGTCCACCAGTCCCAGCATTTCCAGAGTGACAGCTTCCACTTCTTTCTAGAATCTTAGGCCCCAGATTGTAACAGATTGAGGGCTCAGGCTGCCCCACCCCATCCCGGTTTGGGGCTTAATTATTTTAAAGTAAGATTTCAGTCGTCTCCAGCCTTCCAGAGGATGGGTGCCTTTTATCCTGTCTGCAGAGAAGCTTCAGTGACATTCTCTCGCAGGGAGTGGGTGAGAGCAGAGACAGAGCAAAATACAGGGGTTCGTGACCCACTGCACCCTGGCTTCAAGCGGCCCCACAGGTGTGAGAGCAAAATCTATCAGGCAGGGAAAGCCATTGATCTGTGGCTGGGCACTGACCTCCTGACTGGTCTTGTAGCTGACTTGTCCTATCCGAGCCCCTGTTTCTCCCTCCCCAAAATGAAAGATTCCACAGGAAGGGACTGCAAACTGCTTTCCACTCATTTGCTAATTCTGACCTCGTGGTGAGGATTTTCAGGGTGAGCAGGAGAGAGAGCTGGGATCAATTAGCAATGTCTGCCATGAGCACGGGAAAGAGAACAGTGGCACATTTACTTGGCATGTTTTGCCGCTGCTGCCACCGATATCCTCTTTGGCTCAGATCTTGTATGACTTTTTGATTTCCTCTCACCCGTGCTGTTTTCTTTGCCTTCCCTGAGGACCTATTTCAGAGGCTGTTCCCACCCACCAGGAATTGGCAGTGGCTTACGGGTAATCGCTTGGAGGGCCAGGCCATGTAAGTTCGAGACAACCAAGGCCAGAGGAGACCAGAGCTCTCCTTGAGACCAGAAATAAGCCCAAAGGAGTTTTTCTAGGGTCAACAACAGAACGGAAAGGGGGAAGCACAGCCTACGTGGATGAAATGCAAGATGCAGCCTCCGTTCACCTGGCTTAGGCATAGAAAACTGAGAAAGCAAAATAGCATCTGAAAAAAAGAATTTTGAGCCGAGGCCTGCTGGGCGTGGAGTGGTCTCCGTGTCTATGAAGCAGAGATGATAGCAGTACCCCCCCCCCACCCCGGGTTGTCATGGCGACGCAGTGAGCCGTGCACACACAGAGCTCAGCACAGTGCCTGGCACTGTAATCGATGCCTAATCGCAGCGATCCAGCGGCTCACGGTCCTGCTCTCCCTCCGGGCACCTTCTCCAGGCGCACTCTCTGGTGGCGCTGGGCCTGAGGATCTGAACTCTGTTCTGAAACCAGCCCCGGCGGGGCGGGAGCTCGCTGTCTCACCGCCGAGGCCCCGAGTTCGCCAGTTCCAATAACACGATTAGTCATTTTTCATTCCTGAGATGTCTGCCCATGGGTGGGTGCGTGTGTGCGTGCGCGGGTGTGCGCGCGCCTTTCAGGGAAGGGGAAAATCCATATTCTCTCTCTTCTGACCAAATTAATCAAATAAATCTTCTGTAAGGAGCTGCTAAATGAATCACAGATGGCTCTGCCCCTTTACAGGTTGCAGAAAGCACCCGTTACAGTTCTTTTAATTTATCAGAGGAAAAAAGATGCCCTCGTGTGCCCCTTCCCTCTCGCAGTAATAATCAGAACCAGTCTATTTTCCAAGGGTCCGAGACTCATTTTCAAAAAATGTGTATCAATAGATGTAACAGCGGGAAGATTGTTTTGCCAAGCCCCAGCCTCCAGCGCGGCGAAGGTGCCCTGGCTGCGGAGAGCGTTTATAAAACCACATTTAATAAAAGAGAGTGTTATATTAAGTATGTTTGCTAGTGTATTTAAGCATATGGTTTCCATATCAGGCTGAAAGATGCCAAACACATGCTTTACCTTCTTTCTAACCTTTCCAAGGGGTGATGGGATGGGAGGATTTTTTTTTTTTTTTTAGACGTTGAGTGTGTTGTTTTGTTTTGCTTTTGCAACTCTGGCTCACGTGGAAGAGCGCCGATGGACGTTCAGAAAGCATGTGAAGACTCTGCCTTTTCTACTGATGCGATTAGCCCAGGAAACTTGCCCGCTGACTTTCTCCAACTGTCCCAACATTCTCCCAGAGCCCCTTTGCCGAGGTGCGAGCGCTGGCTGACTTTACAGTGTGAATCAATTTCAGCTGCAAAGAACTTGAGCTCCTGGATTTTAGACATGAACCCTTTGGTAAAAGCAAGAGCTCCAAGGATGGCTGCCTGGCTTTGTGTCCATGAGTCCCTGTTTACAGTGAACCCTCTGACTATTTATCTCTTTGTATTTGGACTGAGCACTGGGGATGTTGTCTTTTTCCTGCAGGTCAGAGGCAATTGGCTGTGGCCCCGCAGGCGTGGGGTCCCTGGGAAGGCGGCTAGAATGGGCCTCCACGGCCCCCCACCATAAAACAATCTAAACAATCCCCATATTCTGAGACAATCCCGGAAGCCGAAATGCCATACCTAGGAAAGGGATTGGGCGGGAGCATCTGCAGCGAGGCCGCCCAGCCCACCCCCCACACCAGCCCAAGCAGATTTGCCTGAGCGAGTTATAAATCTACTGGTACCATTTCTTTTTCGTCACTTGCCTAATCCTGTGCCCTTCGTTTCATGTGCTGTAATTATTAACATCTGCTTTCTGAGCCCGGACCGCATGGAGTTTGCAAAGGCAGTTTTCAGTGCAGAACAATGGTGACAGCTGTTTCATTTAGCCTAGGGCCAGCACTTCCTGTTCTGTCTGCATCTGCCCTTCTGTGTCCAATTTCTGTTTCAGGGTTTTGTGTTTTGTTTTCTATTTTTTTTCCCCTTCATCTGACCTTGCTATATGTTTAAGATGAATTTCTAACTTAGCACTCCAGCTAGGATTTCTAGCACATATGCTTATTAGATTGGCGACAGCCAGAGAAAGACAGGAGAAAGCGCAGATTGGCCCCAGCAGCTAACACGGTGGAAGGCAGGGACAGAAGGGAGGGCTGCCCGGGGACCCGGGCACCAGGCTCCAAGGCGGGGACT